TGGTGATGTTATTATATTTACATTTTCAATGTCTTTGTCCGAGATAAATTTACAATTTGTAAATGTACTTTATTTTCCCATCAATGTATTGGCGCGGTTCCACAAAAAAACCATGTGCAAGGCGGAACAAACAGACAGAATCAGGGCTTGGAGCACGTGGATTGGCGGAATCAAAGCATGTAAATATAAGGAATTACTTCAGATTTTTCAATTTCATGACGATGATCAATCGATTGGCTTGCGTGATAATTTATGCATAAACGCCTTCGGCGTGTATGCAAATTATCACGCAACCCAATCGATTGATCACATCATGAAATCGAAAAATAAGACAGTTATTCCTTAATTTTTTTTTAAAAGATTATTTGTTTTGTTTGGATAGACTAATAAATTTAAAGTGTTCAAATTCAGAAAAAACTTTTCTCAATTTCTCTTTGAATAGAGCGCAATTTTTATTTTGGCAAAATTTGTTCCAATGATTAATTTTTTTGACCAGCTATTTTAATCTAAAGAAACTAATTAAAACGACACACTGGAGTATTGGGCTGGAATCTATACTGTTGTAAAGTCACTTTTATCACGTGACACCATTTCCCTAGATTTTTCCCCGATTCTTAAGAATGAATTGAGTTTTATATCAAGAACAGACACAAATAAAGGAATCTTCGAGATAGGACAAAGACGATTTATAGTGCACTTGATTTTTTATCTTCATAGTCAACCTTGCAAACACTTAATCTTAAGCAGAGATAAAAATATGAGATAGGTAAAGGAAATATGTATGACTAGAGATACTTAGAAGGAGTAGTAGGTACCACAAGGAACAATGAAGATATTTATATTTAGAGAATGTATTTTTAATATTTTCTTTATAAAATATAAGGAGATAAGGAACAATATTTACATTCAGTGTAATTTTCTTTATGAAATCCATTAGAAATCCATGACGTTCAAATCTGTATAATACACACCTTGTCACCGCGCGTTCGAATACACAGTAGGGACTATATGCATTTTCGATACTTTATGAACACCAAAATGTACATTGTTTGACACAATTTAATAAAAAAAAAAAATAACCCTGTTGAATTAAAGTAAAATACAACAAATGTGCATTTAAGATAAATTTGTCACTTTTTTTCCTCGCAGTGTTCATTTGCGTTATTTAACTTTACGACGACACAAACAATATAAACATGGAAGAATCAGCATCCCCTGCCGACAGTGACACCCGCCATGTGCTCCTTCGCACGATCGGAATATGACAAGAAAATCCGTCGTCAATTCAGTGTATAGATAATGAACTAACAATTAGTATGAAAAACGTCAGTCCGCATTTGACTCAATGATATATTGTATTTGCTGACAAGGTCAATGTATCGACTATAGAACTTACGAAATGATGACTTTAAACGAGACTGCTGATATTCTTCTTTCATCAACTTGTTTGTCAATAATTTACCTTGTTCTAAATATTTTTCATACGTAGAGCATGCTATCGAATCAACTGAGATACATTTAATTTATGTTTTTCTTTCAGTTTCCTTCATTGTTGTTAAGCTACTGGGTGGAATTTCGTGTGATTAATAATTGACTGTTTGTAATATAACTTGTTATAAACAGTTCAATTTTAGAATCATCACTTAAAAAAGAAAGAAAAGACCAATCCATTGGTTTTTTCCCAATAAAACAATATATTCTCGCTTCATATTTTCAAATAAAAAGGCCTTATCAATTTTCAGCAATCTTGTTATATCCAGTAGTAAATATTACGAAAAACAATATCATCAGAAGTAGTTTCTCACATATAAACATGAAATCTGTCGACAATGTGGTCGATATGCAAATGAGCAAAAACACCATGTTGCTACCAGTTTTTTTTTTTTTTTTTAGATTCGAACTACCTCCCAATCAATGAGCGAGTGCTCTCCATGAAATATGCGGAGATAAAAAAAGTTTTTTTGAGCTGAAAAGTGCATTAACATTACGAAATAGGGGCTGAGTTAACATGGACCTAAAAAATAGCAGAGATGGGATAATGTGCCATGGAGGAGGGAGCATCCCCTGCGGACCGCTTACACATAATCGGGAATTAGCAGAAACATGCATGGGCAATTCAGTGTGTAAACAATGGCCTATCAATCGATAAAAAAAGCCCAACAACTTTTGACTTTACGATAAATGTCAATCAACATTTTACATGATAATAAATTGCATTTGCTGACAAGGTCTTCGTATCGACCATAGAATTTACGAAATGATGACTTTATACGAGACATAAAAAAGCTGACATTCTCGCTTCATCAACTAGTTTGTCAATAACGTACCTCGTTTTAGAAGTTGTTCATAAGTATAACATGCTCTTCTGTATGGAATCAACTGACAGGTGTAAATACAGTTTGCAGGTGACAAAAGTGTATTGCTACATAAGAAAGGGAAGCTGACGATTGAACAGTTAAAGTCATCACGTTAATGTAAAGCTTTGTTGTTAGATAGCCTATAGCGTCTTTCTCCGGTTAAAGATCCAAAAATGAAACAGACGTGTCAGACTCGGGATATATCGTGTTGATTGTTTGATTGATTGATCGATTGTTGATTTATTAATTTACGTCCCCTTCGAGAATTTTTCACTCATATATACCGGTGGATAGTTTAAAATTTTGACCTTTATCCGGCATTCAGTGCCATTGAGCAGTGAGGGATCTTTATCGTGCCAACGCCTGACGTGACACAGGGTCTCATCCAAAGGACCTGCACTTTTCTCTTCAAAGTGCTGAATGCATGGCGAGGTAACAGTTGCTATATGTACTCATGTTTTACATTGAGATTCTAATTCACGACCTCCCACTCACGGAGAGTGCGCTTTATCAACTGAGATACTATGAACGGTCTATATATCGTGTCGACATAAGAATGGAAGTAATTATTATTAGTTGACAACACGTCGTCGATATATCTAAATGCCGACTTCAAGACCACAGCAAGTATATTCTTTTTTTCAGGTATATATATATATATATATATATATATATATATATATATATATATATATATATATATATATATAGCACATTTTACAACAACTCTTAAACTAACATAACTGTCCTAAGTGAAGAAATATTAATATAGAAAGCACAAAGAAATTCACTTTTACATGGATACCCACTTCCGCCCCAGCCCGGGGTTGAACTCTCGACCTTCGGAATCTGTCTCCTAGCAGTGCAGGAACAGCGCGCTAGACCGCTCGGCTATCTAGGCAAGTTAAAAAACTTGCTTTCGATGCCGATGGAATTCTCGCGGCGCTGTCCTACACTACACGGTCATTGAGAATAGAAGTGAGATACAGTTATTTGGACATTAGTTTTAGCAGAGGATTGTTACCAATACACGTTGTAATGAAATTAATTATTATTTATAAAGCACATTTTACAACAACTCTTAAACTAACATAACTGTCCTAAGTGAAGAAATATTAATATAGAAAGCACAAAGAAATTCACTTTTACATGGATACCCACTTCCGCCCCAGCCCGGGGTTGAACTCTCGACCTTCGGAATCTGTCTCCTAGCAGTGCAGGAACAGCGCGCTAGACCGCTCGGCTATCTAGGCAAGTTAAAAAACTTGCTTTCGATGCCGATGGAATTCTCGCGGCGCTGTCCTACACTACACGGTCATTGAGAATAGAAGTGAGATACAGTTATTTGGACATTAGTTTTAGCAGAGGATTGTTACCAATACACGTTGTAATGAAATTAATTATTATTTATAAAGCACATTTTACAACAACTCTTAAACTAACATAACTGTCCTAAGTGAAGAAATATTAATATAGAAAGCACAAAGAAATTCACTTTTACATGGATACCCACTTCCGCCCCAGCCCGGGGTTGAACTCTCGACCTTCGGAATCTGTCTCCTAGCAGTGCAGGAACAGCGCGCTAGACCGCTCGGCTATCTAGGCAAGTTAAAAAACTTGAACGAGTTCAACCCCGGGCTGGGGCGGAAGTGGGTATCCATGTAAAAGTGAATTTCTTTGTGCTTTCTATATTAATATTTCTTCACTTAGGGCAGTTATGTTAGTTTAAGAGTTGTTGTAAAATGTGCTTTATAAATAATAATTAATTTCATTACAACATGTATTGGTAACAATCCTCTGCTAAAACTAATGTCCAAATAACTGTATCTCACTTCTATTCTCAATGACCGTGTAGTGTAGGACAGCGCCGCGAGAATTCCATCGGCATCGAAAGCAAGTTTTTTAACTTGCCTAGATAGCCGAGCGGTCTAGCGCGCTGTTCCTGCACTGCTAGGAGACAGATTCCGAAGGTCGAGAGTTCAACCCCGGGCTGGGGCGGAAGTGGGTATCCATGTAAAAGTGAATTTCTTTGTGCTTTCTATATTAATATTTCTTCACTTAGGACAGTTATGTTAGTTTAAGAGTTGTTGTAAAATGTGCTTTATAAATAATAATTAATTTCATTACAACGTGTATTGGTAACAATCCTCTGCTAAAACTAATGTCCAAATAACTGTATCTCACTTCTATTCTCAATGACCGTGTAGTGTAGGACAGCGCCGCGAGAATTCCATCGGCATCGAAAGCAAGTTTTTTAACTTGCCTAGATAGCCGAGCGGTCTAGCGCGCTGTTCCTGCACTGCTAGGAGACAGATTCCGAAGGTCGAGAGTTCAACCCCGGGCTGGGGCGGAAGTGGGTATCCATGTAAAAGTGAATTTCTTTGTGCTTTCTATATATATATATATATATATATATATATATATACACACATGTTTATAAACACTTCATTTTCAAAATGATATATTTGCCGAAATTGATAAAGAATATATGAAACAATATACCGAAGGAATCGAGTTTGTAACCATTTTGGGATATTATATGGCTTCTTCCACCAAATTGGCTTATCACCAGTGCATGTACTGATATTGTATATTGTAGACAGAAAAGGAACAATATGGTGTAGTGCTCTTTGCGGGTCGTATTCACCTTTAATTGAGAATTTGAAAACAATGTTCACACCCTTATTTAAGTCCAAAAATAATAGCAAGATTTATATTCCAGGATCGATGCGACGGATTCTGAAAAAAAATATCATAAAAACATTTTTTTTAAATACGCAAAAATAAATCATTGAAAAATGAACCATATTTTGAATGTGTTAAATAGTTAAAAATTCACTGAGGTATTACCTTGTTTTTGTAAAATAGAGACACGTTACAGCTCCGATAATTACGAAAAGAACAGCAGCTGACACACCGACAACTACAGATAACCATTTCTGTGTGAAAGAGAATTATTATAGTGCATTGGATTAAATATGAATATATGTTAATTCATAAAATAAATAATACATCAAATATAGAGATAACTAACAGTATTTGAACAATACAAATCGGGAGCAGAGAAAACACGGACCTTTAGAATACCATAGTTGGGATCAGGTGTAATGAAGGGGTGAGCATCCCCTGCTGACCAGTCACACCCATCGTGAGCTTTTTTGTCATTACCGGGAGATAACGTAAAATTTTGTTGACAATTTAGAATATGTATATCAAATGGCCTAACAATCAATATTAAAAACGTCATTCAGTATTAGGCGTAATGATAAGCTGTTTATAAAAGTTTTAATCTACCTTAATAAAGGTTGATGTTTTTGGTCTAGTCGTTGTTGATGGTAGTGCAGTTGTTCTTTTCTCTGTTATTGTAGGCAAATCCGTCGTTTGTGTTGTTGTTGTTGTTGATGATGTAGTCGTTGCTGTTGTAGGTGTTGTACGTGGAGTGATTGTTATTGATGATGAAATTTTTGTTGTTGAAGGGCTATTAGTCGGTGTTCTTGATATGTTAGTCGCTATTTCTGGTAAAGTGTTTGCTGTTGGTTTATTAAGCGCTGTTCTTGGGGTATTAGCCGTTGGTATATTTAATGGTGGTCCTGACGTTGATTTTGATTGTGTGTTTATTTTTGCATTTTCTAAGGTTGCTGAAGTAATTGATGTTGATAGTGTGGTCCTTGTTGCATTTTCTGTTTGTTCACAGTGCAGAGCAGAATTATTATTTGAACATGATATTGTAAGTTGTATTTTTATCCTAGATAAGAAAGACAATGATCTATTTAACAAAAATTATATAAAAGGTTAACAGTATCATGTGAGAATTATCCCATTTTTCATAATTTATTAATACTATTTAATGACTATGTCTCGGGTAAAACTTTGAAGTATTAAGTAATATTGCATAAAAACGACATAAAAAATTCAAGGACTCTAATATTATTGACTCTTGATAAGTAACAAAAAACCCTGGTTTTAAAACAAAAAAATATAAGTTTTTCTTCTCACGATAAGTTCTCATTTCCAGGTGTTGTGGTGACGTTCAGTCCTTCAGTTGTATTTCCTGTGTACACGTACTTTGTCACGCCAAGATTATCATTGCCACCGACAGAATCGTAATCGAAAGCATGGACTGATATTTCAAATGAGGGCTGGTAACGAAAAAAAAAGGAAAAAGGAATAACATACTTCATCCTATAAAAGTTATTATACATTTGACTGTATCATTTGTAATTTTGTTTCATTGTATATTTACTTGTCCCCTGATGTCCCTCCAAGTATAGCAATCAGCGTCTCTCAGAGTATTTGCAAATAAAAAGTGATGTGTATCATCAACTCGCTGGTTTTTATCATTTCCATAGCAAACCTGTCTGAAGAAAATACACCGAGAAATAGATTCACTTAGTGTTTTACACAATAGATAGAGAAATTTTTCCTTGAATCAATTTTATCGAAACTCTGATATTTTGTTTCAGGCTGTAGAATCTCTTTTTATTTATCTATTTTTTGATTCAAAAAAAATTATAACACAAAAGAAATTCAACCACAAAGATTTTGCCAATATTATTTTACAAGTCTGTCCATCATGATGTAAGAAGATCGTGAAATCAGACATTTGTTTTTAAAATTAAAGAGAGAGAGAGAGAGAGAGAGAGAGAGAGAGAGAGAGAAAGAGAGATTAACCTTTGTGTCGGTAATAAAGGTAGCAGACAAACTTGGAAATAAACGTCACACTCGGAGCAGTTCCAGTATAAAATATTAGGGTCACAACTACAGTCCTTGTTCCTGTTGTACTCCAGTAACTTTACTGACACGTCATAGTTTCCTGTAATCTGCCAGTACATGGTGACATTAATGGCAATGATATAAGAAAACATGATATGCATTAGTGGACTTGAAAATAAAACGTTTTAATTAATTAGAACTTTAAGATATTTCTATTTTAATATTTCTAGATATTTAAGCAATAAAAATCATTATTAACAGCGACAGCGACATGCTAAAATAAAATTAAAAAAATTGAGATTGATTGCAATATGAAAAAAAACCCTAGAGTTTTTAAACATTTTGAATTAGAGCTGGTCGTACATACTTCAATTGTTTTACATTGCAATGTTATGAATATTCTCAAATTAATGTGTTTTAGCCATATCTACAACAACTCTTTTCTATATATAAAAATGAACACAAACGATATTTATAATGGGTAGTAAGTATTCATTCATCTCTATCCCAGTGAACAATAAAATATGAATAAGTTTCGATGACAAAACATTTTCATGCATATTTTTTTTTTTTTTTTTTTGCATTACATCTGGACATCCATCTTCTAGGCACAAAATTAGAGGACATTGAAAGCAACATGAATATTTAAAGTGGATTCAAAGCATAAATAATATACATTAACAATATGGTTATCAATATGCAACTCGAATGATATTCTGATTTTTTTACAATTTTATATATGATATCGACAGTTATATATTTACATCCATTTTTATACTAATAGCATCTTATATTTACCCGAGAAACACTCCCAAGGAAGAAAACGACGACAAGTATCCAAGTCTCCATCTTATTAATATAATAATTCATTTTTTCTCTGCATCAACCAGTCCTTAACAGGACAAAAGTCTTGTCTTGTCCTGTACTTTGTTTGCTTTAGTTTCTATAAACCTCTTAGAGAGATAAAATGATAAAGATCTCCAGAAATTGGAGACACCTATTTCATCTTTTACTTTAAATACTGATATTTGCTAAGTAATGTAGCAGTCTGCAGAAAAAAATCAACAATATTTCACTCAGTGGAGACAATTAAAGAATCGGATGAGACAGTAGAAACCGAGGTCCCATTTCACCATAGGTGTTGGTACAAAAAAGACCCCTCACTGCCCAATGGTAGTGCCGATCATAAGTATTAATTTGCCGCCCGCCTCCGGCAAGTGGCGGTGTTTCCATATGAGTGGAAGAAAGTCTCGATAAAAACAAATATGACTTTATATTAGAAGGTTTTTTTCCCTAAATAATTTAAATTCGATCTTCTGTAGTGGTCTTGCAAATTTCACAATGTATAAGTTAAATGTTTTTCACCTTTTTATGTTATAATTTTATTATGAACATAATGAAGGGAGTGTATTTCTATTTTTGCCAATATTGTTCCAATGCATAATTTGCTTTCCTACTACTTTAATCTAAATAAACTAAGTAAAACGACATATTGGACTACCATGGAATCTAAACTGTTGCAAAGTCGCTTTTGAAACATGTCACTATTTCCCTACATTTTTTTTCTGATTTGTAAGAATAAATCGAGTTATATCTCAAGTTAAAACACACATACGAGCCCTCGAGATAGGACAAAAATTTTTAATGGTGCTCTTGATCTGATTTTTGATCTTCACAGTTAACCTTGCATACACTGAGCCGAGATAAAACAAAAGTATGATGTACCTAAAGAATACATGTGCCACTTGAGATACTCAGTGGGGAGTCGTAAGCAATTGAAAGGAACTGTGAACTTTTTTTATATCTAGAAAATATTACATTAATCATGGTCTACATCTCACAGGTGCTTGTGGACAGGATTATCCTTAAACCCCAACCCCTCCCCCTCCCCTCAAACTTTCAATATTAAAAAAAATCTTCTTTTTTCTAATCTCTGACAACTTAATCAATATGTTTCTATTTGAAAATCACATAAATATATCAAATCTTCAAATAGAAACATGTAGATTCAGTTGTCAGAGATTAGAAAAGAAGAAAAAAATCAGATTTTTTTTAATATTGAAAGTTTGAGGGGAGGAGGTGTGTGTGTGTGGGGGGGGGGGGGTGTTAATGATAATCCTGTCCACGAGCACCTGTGCTACATCTATGTTAGATTATCAATTAGTGTTCAAAAAAGAAAAGTTCTGTTTTTTTATAATTACGTTATAAAATAAAATATTTGAGGAATCACTGCCTATTTAGTTTTATATGCCAGGGCATCATTTTTTAAATGTAATTCAAATCCAACATCTAAAGTAAGTATGAGAGTGACCAGCCCTTAATGCAGTATCCATGCAAGTTTGGTTAATATAGGCCTTATAGTTTCTTGGTAAAAACTTTAACTTTGTACATCTGGAAAATCTATGTCGGATTCAGCTTTCGAAGCAAGTCCATTAGCAATGCATCCTCATCAATGAAAGTTTGCACAATATATGACTTATACCTACTCCAAAAACTTTAACCTGTTCACTCATCCAGGAAATGTAGGTCAGATCTGAAGCAAGCCTGGTAATATGTATCCCTATGTGTTTCATCTATGCACGTTTGCACAATATTATTAGGGCTTATAGTCACTTAGAAGTGAGAAAAAAATTAACTTAAAGTTTTAGATTACTTTCCTAAATACTGTCTGTCTAAATATATTACTGTATAGTTCAGAAAAGTTCAACTTGTTCACAATACTTTGCTAAAAAGTCCATATCCTACAAAATACAATTTTTAAGAGAAGGGAAATACATTAGTTGACTTCAATGATCCAATCGAATTAAGTAAAATCTATAAACAGTAAAAATATGTTAAGAGGACATAAACACGGACCCATAAGAAAATTACACTGTATTAATTATTAGTAGTGTTTTTTCCTCCTACCTAAATATAAGATATTGAACAGCAAGCAATCAAAATATTATCAATACAAACCAAGAGCAAATCAATCACGGGCCTCTAAAAATCATTAAAGGGACATTAGACACAGTTTCAGCTAAAAATTTTCAATTAAATTTTCCATTTTTACAAATATAGTGTATACAACAATTTTTAGGTACACGTATTTCTACTGATCATCAAAATTTTGAACTTCAGTTGTTAAGATACAAGACAGATTTAGAGCTAAAAACCTTTCTTATGTAAATATGGTCCGTTTCATGTTTTTGTTAACATATGTCAAGACTCAAGATACTGATATATGTTCGTCAATTACAAAAAGTTATTTCGAAATACAATTAGACAATTTCTAGTGATTTGCTGAATATCATTTTGTTATACATATGATATTTTCTATATGTAAACATAAACAAGGAACGAGCCTTGTTAACATTATGAAGAACATAAGATGACAGTCAACAGACCTAGAAGAACTTGTACATATTGTATATTTGAAAATAATTGTGTTGTTTCGACGAAAAACAAATTTTCAAAATGCTGACTTAAACAAAATTTGATGATAACCCTCATAACATCTAGTTATTAGTCAGTAGCCTGTTTATAAGTTGATTATACACAGTACATGTCCTTGCAGAACTTGGAGATATTTTCACCATTGCAGGTTATACATGTATTTGAATAATTGTTGTTGTGCTTAAGGCCATACCAAAAAAAAA